AAGCCCATAATCAAACAAAAACAGCTCAGGGAGCTTTAAAGCATTATTCTTTTCAAAGGGTTGGTTTTTTTTTTCCTCTTGAAAGGATTGAATTAGTCTCAAACCTTAACCCACTTTTAGACCTATTTAAACAACCGTGTTTCCAAGGCTTAGCCTCCCTTGCTGTGGCGTGCTTTGCTGGATTCGGCTCCGCTGCGCTTTGCGGAGCGGGGCTGAGGCTGCCGGGGTGCGGGCGTGATGAGGCTGACCTTGGTGCAGCTCCAGCAAATCCCACCCTCCCCGTACGCCCCCTGCTCAGCTCGCTGCACCTACCCCTCCACGCAGCGACGTGACGTGGGTAAGCCTGGAAACTGAAACGCCGTGGCGCATTTCAGGGAGAAGACTGGCCTTTGAAGACTGCCTGCTGACAGAACGGGCGAAAGTCATTTTTCAGACATGGCAAGGTAGGAATCGGCTCTCCTGCCACCTAACCCGGCGCCATGCGACTCCCCCGTCCTGCATGCAGCAGAAATTCCTTGCTGACAAACAGAGTTGCCTCCACGGTGATCGTCACTTCAGCCACGTCCATACAAGGCTTTTAAGACGCACCGCGAGCATTCCAGAACGGGACGTTCCAAATGATCAAATGCTCAGCCGAACTCCGCTCCTGAAGATGTAATGGGGCTTAAATGGAAACAGATTTGGGCTAGGACTGAACGGACTTGCAAATTCCAATTGCAGGATCTCAGGGTCTGAATCAGGGTGGGACACAGAGTCCAACCCTCCTGGCTCCCAGGCATTTTCGTGAACTGCTCCGTGCTCGCTGCCTTATTGCCCCTGCAGTTGGCCAACCCCAGTCCCTGGCAGCTGAACTCCAACAATTTTTCCCTTGGGAAGCACTTCACCTATTCAAATGTGTCTCTGAATGCGCTGTCTTTTGGTTTTTGTGTGGAACCGTCGCTCTGGCATGCAGTTGAGCCGTTCACTTTATATGGCAAACTTGTACGTAAGTCTCAAATTGACCAGTTCCTTGGGGTCTAGCCCCCAAACTCCCCTAAAATTCCTTGGAAAATCATACAGAGGAGAGGCTGGGGTGAAGCTGAGTGTGTGCTTAAGCATTTTATTGGGTTAAAACTTTCTTGAATGAATGGGTAGTGCCCGGAGGTTTCCATGTGGCTCATTACTTAGGTTCGAGCATGGTCTGGAAATGGGAGGGGGGCATCTTGCTGCAGATGTGAGCCCCAGGATGAGGATGAGGAGCTGGGGAGCGAGGCACAAGCAGTGAGCCAGGCTGCTCGAGGGGCTGCTTTCCAGAAAGCCCTGGCTGTGAAATGTCAAGGATGCCTCAGCAGGAGGTTTCCACCCTGCCTCTTCCTGCCTTATCAGCCACACAGGAAGATGGAGAGTGAGCAGAAAAACAAGGCTGGACGCTGGCCTTCCTGGCTTTGTTACTGAAAGGCGAGTGGGGCTGCCAGCACGGAGCCCGCGAGGAGTGGCTGCCCGCGTTTTGGAAGCTGAGACAGGGTCCCCCCCGGACAGGACGGAGTATCTAAGGGTGAATGGCCACGTTAAGTGAAGGTGTTGACCTGGGGATCCATGCTGGGTGCTCCAGAGTTTGGTCCCCAGGGCAGGTCACTGCAGTCCCATAGATTTCTGCTTTGTTCTCCTTCATGGAATTCATCCTGGCTGGTGGGAGGATCTGTCACTGGAAAATGGGAGCATTCTCCAAGGCTGCCATTCACTTATTTCCTCTTGGATTAGTGTCTCCTAACTTCAGCTGTCCCAGTCTGAGGACATTTCCCCTTGCAAGCATCTGGAGGAGGAGGCCAGTCCGAGGGTGATCCATCCACCCTGCCACTGTCCCTGGGCTGCAGAGGGAAATGGTTACCCCGACGCCAGTGCTCAGGATGCTGCTTGTCCCTTGGAGGAGACGAGTCTCTCCTTGTCACATGCTCCTTCAGGGACCCTCAGTCCCTGTCAACTCCCACTGCTGGCTCCTTGGGGAGGGTTTAATGTGAGCCGGAGGAGGGGAAGGAGCATCCCCATTGGGACCAGGATCCTTGTTCTGGGTGGGGTTTTTTGTTGGATTACATGCTGTCGTGGGCAGGCCTTCTCCTCTTTACCACCATCACCGCATTTGAAGGAGTCGCTCTGTCTTCCCCATCCTGGTGACACCAGGGAATAAAACAGATCTTCACGTAGCTCTGAGGTCGTAGAGCACGCGTTGGTTCTGTGCAAAGGCTTGAGGCCAGGCCGCGTGGTTGCTTTTTGTCTGCATGAGTGAAAAGTTGGCCCTTGTCTCTGCTAACCTTAACTTTGCTTGGCAGCTTCCTTGAGGAAGTTACAGCTTCGGGGTTCCGTGGCCGAGGCGCTGAGACCTCTCAAGTTACGCCAAGGTCAAGCAGCAGGCGGTGAATCTTGGAGAAATCTCTGGCTCGCCCATCCGGAGCTTCCATGAACTGACCGTACAGCTTTGGAGCAGACCTGGACGTTCCCACCCCGCGCTGCTGCTGTAGCTTCCCCCATCCACCTTAATGAGCACGAGAAGCACCTGGGCAGCGAATGCTGGAGTTGGCATCTGCCCTGGTGAACCAGGACATGCCCCATGCTGCAGCACCCTCGTTATCTTCTCACAAACACAGCTCTGAACGGGACATGGTGGTGGAATTGGACTTGTCACCGGTGGAGAGCCTGGGAAAAATGGCACTACAGCCGCACGGAGCCTCTGCAGCTCTGCCGGCCTTTGGGAAGGCTGCGCTCTGAGCCGATGTGTCAAAACATGTGGTATCAGTCCCCTGACGAACATCTAACGATCCTGGCCCAGACTTCTTGTGCATTTCTGGAAGGTGAGGCTGATGGGCACTAGAAGCCCTTTGCTCCGCTCGGTTGTCTGTATATTTTGAGTCCTATTAAATAACCTCTTTTGACCGAACCTCTTGTCTCTTAAATGAGTCCTAATACCCCTTTTGTCATGCCACTGAGGTGTAATTACATTCTTAATCTTCTTTATTAACTTCTTTTTACCTGAAGACACAAACACAACTCCATGCCACTATTTTTGCTCCCGTGTTGTGAACTGGAAAAGTGTTGTGATTTTTTTTTTTTTTTTTTTTAAACAATAAAAATCATTCTAGCAGTAATAAAACATGTTGGATTTGAAAAGAAAGAAGAGAATTGGGGTTGTGGAGCAGAGCTGGGAGCAGAGGAGGGTGGCTGCATCCTCCTAGGCATGCGAGCCTGACCAGAACGTGCTCCCTCTGCTTTCCGGACCCGGGCTCTGTGGAAGGTGGAGAGAAGCAAGGTGAGAGCTGTAACCCCAGCCCCTGCCTCCTGTGAGGGCGCAGGCATCCAGGAGAGAAATGAAGGCTTCTCCACACCTTCACGAGGATTTTGTTTTGAGTTTCCTTTTATTTTAGGTACGGGAACTGTGAAAAGCCGCACAGGTTAAGAGTGAAAACAGACTGGATGCCTGGATGTCCGCTACCAATGAGCAAGTCTTTCCCTTATCTCTTGCTTTCCCATAATTAAGTAAGACCGAACCTCCAGCTCCCTGAGAGCTCTGCAGAGCTCTTGTGGAGGGAAAGTACTTGAATTCACACTCATTTCTCTGGCTTAATTCCCTGAAGCAAGGTCACGCCGAGCCTGGGCACCTGTCCATCCAAAAATCGCCCCGCAGTGCTGAAGGATCGATGGTACGTGCGGCGTGGAGCTGCTCCAGGGCTCTCGCCTGAAAACAATGGGGTCAGGCCGTGGGGCAGAGTTCCCACGCCACATCATTAGGGAGCGTTTCCTTTCTGACTCGGGAGTGTCAGGCATTGTTTTGGAAGGGATGGGTACTGGCATGGTTTCCAGTCCGTCGCCTTCATCATCCCGTCTAGGGAGCCGACACGCTTCGCCCCTCTCCTCCCTGCAGGATTAACGCCCTGCAGTGCCGCAGTCCTCGTCAGGCAGCGGAGTCCCAAGGTGGGGTCGGCGCTGTTGCTGGCAGCAGGAGAGGCACCTAACGGGACAAGGTGTTGGCTTTATTTAGCCAGCAGGCTCAAACCTCAGCAGGCAGCTCCGTTTCCTAACAGCCTATTGGAAAAGGTTGTGCTCCCGGTACTGGATTAAGGGGTGGATTAAGAGATTCCTACAACGTGTGATGTTGCATCAACCTTTGCGAAGTGAAACCTGTCTCTTCTGTATCACTTTTTGCAGCCTCCCTGCTACCCATTTTTGCTTACTGGCAAATGCAAGCGCTGAAGGTTTGGACCGAGCCTGACACAAAGTCCTGGGGGCCCGGCCCTGCGCCCCTGCATAGTCATTATTTCCCTTGCACTTCCCATCGTAAGGCTTGGCGGGTCGCAGGGCACAGTGCAGCTTTGCAAAGGCTCAGACGGAGCAGACATCACCTAAGGTTGGCTGGCTCCCTTTTGATCAATGCTGTGGTAAACAATCAGAGGTTTTTAAACCAGAGCAGATAACAAACTGGAGAGAAGGAACACAGTGCTGGGGTTTGGGGTTTGGGTTTGGTTTTCTTTTTCCAGCCGCATTTGGACCTTGTATCTCGTGCTGTCTCACCTCAGCCGCCGCCTCCTGCGTGGAATCCCACTGCTTTCTTGCAGGCAAAGCGAATCGTTCCTCAGAAATGAGGCAGAACTGGGATCTCCAGGCAAAATCCCTGGCTTGCTGTTTCTGCTGGGCCACCAGCAACGAGGCCTCCAGGGCCAGGGCACCCGCTCTCAGGGCATCAGGGAGTGAAATTCCTCAGCAGAGCAGGAGCCCTCGCGTGAGTACCACGGCCCTGAGCCAAGCTCTGCCAATGCTCCTGAGAGCCCTCCACTCTCCCCAGCGAGCGCAGTTGCGACCGTGGCTCCTGTGGAGGCACAAGAGGGGGGGTGAGAGAAAGATGCCGGACCCAGAGCATCCTTTTTGGGCAGAGCAGGCCCGATGGGCATCCCTGCTGCTCACTAGCGATGGTCAGGAACAGCTCCCAGGCTGGTGTCTCAGAGGCCGAGTCCTGCTGGGGAGATGGGCATCCCCCACGCCCCAGGCACTCCCCGGGTATTTTCTGGGCCACAAAGAGCTTCGGGTCCCGGGTGTAACACGGGGTCGCCACTGCTGAGCCTGCAGCAACCCGCGTCCTGCTCCCAGGCACCTGTAAGGCTTTTGCTCACGAACTTCTGCGCTGGTATAAAACAAGAGCACTTTAGCAACCAACAGGGAATCGGGGCTTCTGGATCAAGCAAAGCTCCAAACCCACCCTGGGCCACAGGAGACAAGCCAGAGAACTTTACTCAGTAGTTTCTACATCTCATTTATAACTCTGCTTAAGCTAAAGTGCATGTTAAACACGGACCCCATCTTTGTTTAAAAACACACATCCCCAGACTGCCTATCCTCCCGGGATTTCTTTTTTGGCTTTCTTTTTAAGTACACGCTGTAGCTAAAATTGGACTTGCTTCAATTTTCAGCCTCTGTCTTTTCTTTCAGAGCTTTCTGCCATGCCAGTGGATGCACAGATTATACTCAAGATAATTTTAGCCCATAGTATATGTGGGGTTATTAATTTGCCTTCTGGAGGCCATGTATCTCGCTGGATGGGGAGGGGGGAAGAGAAGCAGCTCCCAGGGGTCTTCCTCTGACGTCTTAGGAGGGTTCTGTTTTCCCGTCTGGAAGGAAAGGCGTGTGACGACTCTGGTTTAGGGCATCACGAGTAAAAGTCCCCCCACACTGCAGAATCAGTTTCCCAGGGCATTTTCTCATGGAAAAATCACTGAGCTGAAAAGGAAACAGCAGGGCCCTTGGTAGGAGGTGGGAAGACTCTCGGCGAGGCCGGTTCCTTTATCACTCTGCTGAGCCACGGCTTTTTGTGGCTCGGCTTGTATTGTTCCTGCACTCACAGAGGCAAAATGGGAGAGTCTCAGTCATTCAAACCCTTGCTCCTGCCCTTGGCACGGGTGACTAATACTGCTGCAGATGGAGATTTATTGGGCAATTGCTAGGCTCCTTGCAAGATGGGAAGAGCCTTGTAATTTCTTCTTTTGGCCACAGCTTCAATCTGTTCACGGAGCAGGAATAACAAGAGAATACAGATGGAATGATGTCTCTCGCTGTTTTCCGCGCCCAAGTGCTGGAATACAAAGCGCAAGTCGCTGTTGGGTGGAGGATGTGATGGTAATGGCTTCCAGCGAAAGGGAGGTGATTCCTCGGCGTGCTGCTGAAACGGGATGAGGCTGGAGCGGAGGGAAGTTTTTGCACCAAAGCTGCTTCTTCAGAGCGAAATGCCAGTGCGGTGGCATTGCAACACTTTGCAAACAGGTTTTGCTGAGTTGTTGCAGGGGGTTGTTGTTGTTTCAGTATCAAAACTCCAGAGAAACTTTTCATTTAGAAAATACCAAAACATTTGGAGAGGTGTGAAATAAAAAACCCTTTTTGTTTCCAGCTTTTCCTTTCCTTTCTCCTAAATGAAGGAGTTTAAGACAGCACAGAAATAAAGGATTTTGTTCTTGTTTTATCAGCTACGTGCAGACCAAAGCAGGGCTCTGCTGGTTAGTGGCCCTGGCTGACACAAGTGATACTGGTCCTAATGAGGGACGAGAGTCCCCTTAGCCCTACCCAGTAAATTTGTGAGGGACACAGAGTGCTCATGAGCACTGCATGGCCCGAGGACCCCCCATTGCCCGTGGCGTAACCGTGCTGCGCAGCGGCAGCCCTGGGTGCCGGGACCCTGCGATCCCCACGGTTACACAAAGGGTCCCGCTGAGAAACCTGCAAGCGAGTTTCCAGATCTCTGACACGTGGCCTTTAATCAGTGATTGACTTGGGAATTAACAAGCCAGATCAAATGAAATGAGCTCCTAAATCCCTGGGAATTATCTTAGCATCACAAATAAGTCCTGCTGACGTGCAGCAAAGTGGGAGAGAGCGAAGGCAAGGTGGCCAGCTGAGCCTGGCTAGCAGCCTCCCTCGGGGACCCGGCCACAGGCGTCCTTGACAGCAAATCTTCATGCTGGAAAAAGCACGCGGCCGTCGCCAGGCAAGGAGCTGATCCCTCCAGCCAGATCGTGCAAGCCGTACCTGAGGGATGAGGCGAGGATCTGCAGAGACGCAGATCCCCGTGCTGTGGACCTGGGTCCTGCTGGGAGTTGGGGTGAGGACACGGCACCAAGGAGAGAACCTGGCTCGTGTCCCAGGTCTGCGTCAGAGTGGCCCGGGGGCTTCTTCACTCTGCGGAAACTCTCCGCAGAGGCAGGGTTGCTGGAGCAATCCCCGAGGGGTAAGTCAGGGCATAAAAACCCTGTCGAGATGCATCTTTTTCCGCCTGTGCTGGCTGACGGAGCCAGGCAGATGTGCTGGTTTCTCTCCTCCTCTCTCTGCTAATGTTTTAGCTCCAGTGAACGCCGCTACCTCGTTTGCCCCCGCACTGCAGGAAGAGCTGGTCCCACGCAAGGTGTGAAGCTCTGGGTGAATTCCAACTTTACCGGGCTCATGTTTACCATCTTGCCACTCTCATACAGACCCTTTCTGCCCACCTTACATCCCTCCCTGGTTCCTGACCTCCCTCTCCTGTGTTGTCTTTTCAGTCCTGAGCTATGTTTGCAGAGCTGGCCAGTTCGTTAGCTCTCTGCAAATTTCATTAGCAGGCTGGTTTCCTCCTCCTTCCACATCATTAAATTAGAGATGTTAAATAAAACTGGACCTCTGGGAGGAAAGTGGAGGCAGAAAGGGAAAACACATCACGGTAGGAACACATCAGTGAGGCATTTCATTTAAGGGAAAAAAGCCAAAACCAACCAAAACTTTCAAAGCTGCCTGTGCCCAATATAACCTGCCGGGGGAACGAAGGCCTGTTTCCCTCTTACTTGGAGGCTGCTTTGCATCAGATCAGCGGTGCTGCAGGGTCAAGGGAGAGGGGATGCTCAATTTGCAACTGCTTTAAAGCACCAGTGAAAGGAGAGTCACAGGGAATGGCCATCGGGTAGTTTATACTGGTTAGACCTGTGCTGGGCCAGTCTCGAGTGTACGGAGAAGTTAAGCTGGTACAAAGGTGCCTCGTTTCAGGAGAGTTTACCTTCTCAGGGGAAATACCACGCCAGGAGTGGACACTGCTCTGGACTGCGTCTCTGGAGGTCTTGAGCCCACTCCTGGCCCTTCCACTAACTCTTACTGCTGTTGTCTTAGCTCAGCTTCAGACTTGCCCTTGACCCCAAGTTCCCAGTGGCCCAAATCTACACCATAGCTGTTGTCTAGCCTAAGCCAACCTGATCTCCAGATGAGCTTGGCTCAAACTCTGTGAAGGTCTAGGATCTCCTCCTGCAGGCCATGGGACAGAGATGGGTTTCAGCTCCGGCTCCTGCTCCAGCTCTGGGTCTGATTCTGGTTCTGCCCTGCTGGAAGCCCCTGTGGGATTTAAGGCATTTCGTCAGGACACGAACGCAGCCAGACCTGCTCAGAATTACACCCCTGTTGAGCGCTTCTCTGGACAGGAGCCTGTCTCTCTCCTGTCATTCCCACCCTCTCCCTGCCCCATGCAGTACATTGTAAGTTGGTGGGAATGGGGCAGAGCCTTCAGTGAGTCGCTCCGCAGCAGGCGACTCTCAGATCTCACTGCCAACCTAAGCCACCAGACCCTGAAAGAGTCTTGTAGAGAAGAGAGGAGAGCTGTGAGTCTTGGACTCAATACTCTTAAAATCTTTCCCAACCTAAAGGATTCCATGATTCTATGACTCTATGGCCCTTAAAGGAAACTTTGGCAGTCTTCTGGCCTGGTCTTTTGCAGAGGGGTGAATTCTCCCATCAAGCAGACCCCTTTCCCAGACAATAGCGCTGTAATTATCTTCAGAGACAAGGAAAAACACATGCCCTAATTAAAACTCAATTCATCTCCTAAGCAGCAGTTTCACACTAAATACATAAATAAACTGAGAGTGTTTGTTGTTCTGCTTTTGCAGCAAGAAGATATTTTGGTAACTGTTTATTATGAATCAACACATCATAGGGGAGCTAAACTGCAACATCAGGGCTGAACAGAGCAAATAGGATGTTTGAGGACAGTAAGCAGGAGGACATAAACATAACTTCAGAACGGTTCTCTTTTCATTTTGCCCACGTTTTCAAGGTCCGTTCCCTCCCTCTCACGCCCTCCCCCCCTCTTCTAAAAACAATGATATTTTTGTGCTCCCTGTAACAAAATTCAAAGCCATGATATTAGCAATTCCCTGCAAGTCCATTGTTCCCTGCTCCCTTAAAGATGGTCAGCCGGGAGGGAAACGGGGCATGGGAGCTCAGCCCCGGGCTCGCGTCCCCCCCTGCAGAGGACAGTGCCCCAGCCCAGGGCTCTGCTCCTCCGCTGCCCGCAGGCCTTTGTGCCAGAAGGAGCATGGAGAAGGGCTCCCGCAGCCCCCACTGCCAGCCATGCTTCCGAGGAGACCCTCCTGCAACGCCCCGCCACTGCCAGAGCCTCCTTGTGCCCCGATTCACCGCCCTGTGCCCCGGCAGAGCAGCACAGAGAGCCTTTGTGGAACCAGTTTTCCAGACGACAGCCTTATAAAGCAAAAGGTGGAAACTTGGGGCCAGTTTGCGTAGCACGGAGGAGTTCCTGGAGCATGGCAGGGGCTGTGGGAAGTCATAGAATCATAGAATGGTTTGGGTGGGAAGGGACCCCCAGAGGTCACCCAGCCCAACCCCCCTGCAGGAGCAGGGACACCTTGAACCACATCAGGTTGCTCACAGCCCCGGCCAACCTGGCCTGGAATGGTCCCAGGGATGGGGCCTCCACCCCCTCTCGGGGCAACCCCTGCCAGGCTTTCACCACCCTCACGGCAAAGAATTTCTGCCTTAGATCCAGTCTGCCTAAGGTCCAAAAAGACTGCACTGTCAAGGATTTTGGTAATTTAAAATCTAATTGGCTGTTCTGCAAATGTATTTTAATTTTCA